TTTTAAAGAACCCCTGTTATTTATAACTTTATTTCGCAAGAGAATGTGTTTTTATTTGCTATTTATTTCCATCAGAACATGAAACTAGGTCCTGATAAGTTTTTTCGTCTCGTGACTCCCAAAAACTGTGTTTGCGACATCAATTGAGAAATCAAAGGTAATTACGCCTGAGAAATTCGCTTTCAGCCTTCTACCCGCAGAAGGCAAATCCATGTAATGAAGCGTCCTAAGACCTCTGTAAACTAGAGACATTACGTGATGCTGAGGGGTCAAATATTTACACTAAATCTGTGACCCTCAAACGGATCACGCACTCACGCAGGGATAACACCATAGGCGCACCTGGCGAATTTTATCCACTGGCTTCACCATAAGAGACAACCTATTTAATATTTGTATATGAGCAAGCTTATTCACCCTACTTTTAAAACTCCTTGATGAAGTCTACTATTGTCAGACGAAACGTGTGGGAGATAAATACAAGTTTTTACTTTCTCTGTTCGTGCAGCGATGCTCACTAGTTTGCTCCATCAAAAACGCTTTTAATTTAAGTCGCGTCGACCTCGACAGAAAAATTGTGCTCAATAAATATTTGATACCGTAAGTACCAATTGAGGTACATCATTGGGCTTTGCTCACAGTAATGAAAAAAATGTGCGTTTCCTCACGCTCGCCACATTTATTAATTGGAAAATTATTTTACTGAAGGGCGATGTCGCTTAGCTTAGCGCGTCTTGACTCTGGCCGACGAAAATTATCGAGGTGAACCCCATGAAATTCTTTTCAATTGTTTTAAAAACTTTGTCTACCCTTGATTTGCACGCAGAAAAAAAAGGCAAATTCGGAACGGTATTTCAAAATATTTTATTCATTGGTCAATTCATGAACTTTTTTATAACAGCTCAAGGAAAAAGCAAAATTGAAACAACCGGCAGATCGGTCAAATGAATTCCAATTTTTTCAACAAGGAGTTTGTAAGTTCATTTTTCCCAGTAAATTGAAGAGGGGGTTTAATTAATTTTTTGTGACAGCCGAACATAGACATCTCTGAAACGTCTCTGAAACTTTTAAAGAGTTTACACTTCCGGTAATATTATCCTCACCTCTCGCAACGGCGCAACAGACATTGTTAATCCTATGTGGTGTAGGTGTATTACGTCTTCATAGTGATACCATATAAGAAATCGAGTGTCCAAAAAGCCCTCAATTCAACCTAACACTCGAATTGATAGAGTCAAGATGGCGCAGTTGCCTTATTCATTTGCAACTAACTGTAGAACCAAATGTTATTTTTCTCGCGATGGACAGGGATGGCAACAGCTCAAACTTCTAAATTCGTGGGTGTACAGCGTAGAGAAAGCATTTATAAGACTTCAATGTATTCCAAACATGCGTTTCGTCCGAGAAGAAGCTTATTCTGGCACGTATTGGCTTATGTGGGGATTACGAAGGCCGCGATTTCACGATATGCCTTAAATATCGTGCACAACTCGATGTGAAATTAAGACCTTCGGGTTCGTAAATGCCAGTATTCTCCTCATAAAAATTGGAGACGTAAAGTTAAGAGAGAGGTGAATCTGAAGATGGCAGAAGAAATCAAAGCTGGTGGCTAGTCCTCCTAATGGCAAGGTGACTGTAAACCTAATAGAACGCTTACTGTAACTGCTATCTTAGAGTCGGCTATGAATAAGGAAGAAGGGCAAGAAGAGCGCTTATCTGTACATCAGTTTTCCTAACTGGTGATTTGTGACTTAGATGAACTTTGTATCATATGATTGCTAGGGATACGCAGGTACTGTATAGGCGCTCACATAAATAGAGTTGGGCGATCCTCCCTCTGACTTTAGAACTGCGACAAGTTTATGGCGCAGACCAACTGGCACAGTTTGGAGCACCTAAGGGTCTTACTAGGCTCATCACATTAGAAACCTTCAGCAGACTAATCGTAAAAGCGGGTGGTTATCAGCAACGTGCACAGATCTCTGAACGCGGGTCATCGCGAGAACCAAACCCAATCCGTCACAGACTGAACAAGAAAGCGAGATATTCTTGCTAAGAGGAGGGATGTATCAAGACGTTTCGGTCATTAGCTACCATCCAAAAGCACCCTATCAAAGGCAAACACAGTGAAGCTGACAAAAAAATCTGCCTATGATGAGACCAAGAGGAAATGGACGAAGACCGGCTTGCCATTCTATAGGGGGTGGCTTCGTTCAAGGTCGGACCTCAGGTAAAATTCTGACGAACAATTCCTAACTAGGCAAGTGGACTTTGGATGGGTTCTTTGGAAAACACAGAAAACAGCCACCTTTTCTCAGAAAGCAAAGATTTATCTCCTAGATGTGTGCTGGACAGGGGAGGAAACTTGTAAGGCAACCGCCTCTAATGTGACATTTATATGTAGTAATAGAATGCTTGAAAAAAAAATGCAGATACTTTACGATCGAAGAAGCAAATAATCATGGAGATCTGAAGATTATTCTGAAATTGAATGATTCCCACGGAATCTTCGGGTTACGCAACAGATGTTAGCTTAGGAGAGTTTTGCATGGAAATGTTCGATGGCGGTAAGTGACAAAGACAACTCTATTTTAATTTTGTTTTCGGGATAGAAGCACAGTTTTTAGCTTGACAGAACTATTGATATGCGTGTGACTTTAAAATCACCTAAAATGAGCAGTGATGTTGATAAACAATCAAAGTATAGACTAATGAATGTTTTGTGCCGTACAAAAACCATATTTGATGATTTTAGCAAATCTCTAAAGTAATAAACAACAGAAGAAAGAAGCGCTACGATTTTCTCATCGATTTTTCGCTTACATGCATCTCTCTAAACGTGAAATTTTCCACTCCTACAAAGAATTTTGAAAGTTTTTCATATTTTTTACCTTTCTTGATCAATCATCTTGAATAAAGAGCTGAAAAATGTAGGTTTATTTGGTCAAGTGACCGCCTAGAGCAAGAATTGCGTGACAAGTGTAGTTGAGAGAAACTTGTCACAGTCGCAGATTTTAAAAGGCATCCAAGACAAAAATATGGTAGTGCCTGAAGATTTTTTTGATGATTTTCAGAGATGAAATGATGGGTTATAAAGGGGAATCAAGATTAATGTTATAGCTTTCTGGCAAGGGGAGATATTTGACCTCAAAAATGTCAAATATTTGGATGAATCGAAAAATCTAGAACCACAGTCGTTTATTCGTCTCTGTTGATTGACAAGTCGCCCATCAAATTGACTGATACTTGCGGCGGGCATTAACTTAGGATGTACAAATATGTGTGCGAACTCTCAGAGTAATTGGTTAAATACCATCGCAGTGAGAGCTTCATACATTTTACTTATTTTGAAGCGATTTCCTTGGTGAAAACCAAGAAAAAATGGGGGGGTCTACCTCCCCCCGGAAAAAACCAAAACAGAAACCGGTTTGTCTTTTTGAGTTTTGGGGTAGACCCTTTAAACTGGCAAAGTTTCATTGAAATCGGTGAGATGGCATGTAGCACGACTGCCTGGTGCTCAGGATGTCAGCATCCATCGAGCAAATTTGGAATATTGTGGCAAGTCGCCCAAAATTCGTTTTCTCTCCTACTTTCATATTTTGTAGCCCAATATGTCCTAATAATTGTGGTGTAGTTTTTTTTGTAAAAATTTATATTAAAGTTTTCGAGAAATGATTTTTTCGTTCGACCGCTCAGATATGGAAAATTTCACCGTGAATATTGCCGAGTTGTGTGACCTCATGTAACGAATTTACTTGACCTCCGGTATTTCTGTCAACATAATCCTTTGTTTTATCATCTAAACTTAATCCCCTGTCATTATTGAAGCTGGCAAAGAAATATTTATTTTTTGGTGAATATTTTTGTCCGACATGCTTTTTCTATGTCGAAAAGTAGCACCAAAACAAAGACAGTTTTAACGATGACCGATATGACAGAATCTACTGAGCTTCTAGCTTTTAAAAGACAAAAGGATGGTTATAAAGTTACTGTAAAAATTTCCTTGTGTATTTGTGTTGTTCTATCGTGAGACGAACTCAAAGTCCGGCAAAATTTACTTGCTAGCGACTATGAAATATACATGGTGTGTCTACTTGTCGCCACCGTTTATTGGCATAAATCACTACAATATGTAAAAAAAATCTAACATAACGCTCTTACCTTATTTATTTATGATTTTATTAGCTGTTTCGATGACAAGTTATGCCTTACCACATTTAAGCCAGATTATAAATCTTCTCCACATTATTATATCTGTCCCTCCTGCTCCCTGTACATTTATTTATTTATTTTTGATTCTATGTGAATTGACAGGTCGGCTCATTGCCATGGGCCACGTGCTCATGTGTGAGGAAAAACAAGTTGAGTGGAGGAGTTTGGAGTAAAGTGAGCGAATAAAGTTGTTAAAAAGAATCGAATCAGCCGAGTCCAATTGTCGTCCGGCAACGACAATATCAGTTGCATGACAAGCGTGACACATAAATTCAAAGATGAATCAACCTCCGGAATTACCAAGAGATGGGTTTTTTTCTCTCTTTGCATATCTATAAAAACCTTCCAAGAATTACTGTATTCAAAAAACTAAAATGTCCAGATCCATCAATGATTCCTTTGCCGGCGGAAGTCAAAGAATGTTCACAAAAGTCAATTCTTGGTTTTCACCCACGTGACTTTTGTCCTAATACCATCAGTTATTAAAAATAAGTCTTCCTTCGAAGAAGAATTGACAACAGAGAGGAGAAGAAAGTAGATACAAGCGATAAGTCGCAGCGACACGATGTGAGAATAAAGATAAAGATAGACCAGCACGGACTCCCCATGTGGCTTTCGTGGTCGCGTCGCATTACCGCCTTCAAATTATACTTTTTGCTCTCACAAGCATGTCTTAAAGAGATTTTCGCTTTTTATAAAAGATGATCGGAGGCTTTGTACAATTTGTTTTCAGCAAGGACTGATTGTGTATCAAACTCCACTGTTCCATGAATATTTGTTTTAAATTTTTAACTGCCGGGTGGTACGTTGCGACGAAAGGCAACAACGTTCGTGACCTTTCGGCTTTTGTGTATGTTTAAAGGACGATTGTCAAGAGGCAAAACTGACCCCTGATAGGCACCTTTCTATGATGTTTCCTGGGTACCCTCTTCCTTCGAGGCTTTGTTTGAATTTCAAACGGCCCACTTCAAATGTTTTTTTCGAAGAGTTAGTTCTAGGCAATCTTACTGCTGGCCTTTAACGAACCATATTTTACGCCTGGTGGATGGCACGACGCGAAGTGCGTAATTTGGAAAGTCTCGGTCTGCCTCTAATGAGTTTTGATGTCCCAGATGGAATTTTTTGCGAATCTTTCCCCTTTGAACACCGTGGTATCGAGAAAAGTGATTTGGTTGATTTTCTGATATTTCAGCCGTGAATTTGACAGTAGGGTGGAAATAGTTAGCCCGTTTAATTTAATGAACCGATTTACCTCTTTCCTGTCGCAATCCCAAAGGGAGTAAACGGCATTAATGTAACGTTTCCATCTTTTGGTTTGGTTTCGCTTTTATTGTTGGATTAATTTCTTTTCCATTTCCGCCATGAAAATATCGGCAAATGGCACCGCTATTTTCATATCCAAAGCGGTTCCATGTTTTTGGAGGAAGCTCTCCTCAATGAATTAAAACGAATTTTCTTTAAGGATTAAGCCAAGCATTTCCGTGAGGTAGTGCGTTGGGATCGGTGCGCAATGATTGAGGAACTTTTCGTATGTTTCTCATACTATATTTGTTGCATAATCAGCAATTCATTTGAGGTATCATTAATCCTATTCATTCCGCCATTCACGTCTTGTCACGTTTTGTCGCAATATAAATACTTGTTAATTAGTGTATATTGTCCCAACCGTAATATATGCAGAAATGTTACCAAATATGTAAACTCGTGAGTTTAGCTCGATATAGGATTATTACTTTGATTAGTGTGTGTATAAATAGAAAACTTTTGCAGAACCGAGTAGTTAACAATATTCGTTCCTTTTTCTTGACGCATATTTATGTACCACTTTCTGCGACAATCCAAATGTCTATAAGAGGATCGTTCATCCGCTGCTAATATCTCACCTTCGCCACAACTACAATCTTGTTAATAATCTTTGCTCCTTGAACCGATGTTACGTTTACGAAGCCAGACACCATTTGGCTGTATGCCTCAAGACTTTTTTGAACTCTTTAAATTGCTTATTAGCACAATAACTTGTCTCCAGAACTAAATTAGAAAGAAGGTTCGAGACTTCTATCGGGAACAGACATTCTGAGTTGAATTCAGTGCTGCTTCGAATGGCTACGGGATCGACACCAACCACAAATTTTCTTAAAATATCGCTCTCGAACGTGGCTTTCTAGACCCTCAGCTTAGTTCAAAAGCACAGGTATCCTTAGGAGAATATTCTCTTGTGATTCTGGATTTTTTTCACCAGAAATATCCATAAAACAAAGTATTTGAAAGAAGGCACGGTAGAGATGGCGATATATTTGCATGAAATTTCGCCGTAAGTACTAAAACAAGGAACGACCTAAAACCACCTAAAACCACCTAAAACCACCTACAACCACCTACAACCATCTACAACCACCTCAAAAATTTCAACAACCACCTACAACCACCTCAAAAACATCTACAACCACTCGCAAACTATCTAAAACCATCTAAAACAAGGCATAAATGTCTAAAATAAGGCGAAACGACAACATGTCACGTACACGAAATACGAGAATCGAACGAAACCTCTACCTCCCCCTGAAATCTTACTCTCCCTGGTCTCATGTATAATCAACCATCTCACGAAATGAAATGCGATAGCATGCTAATTATTTTATATTCCCTCAGCAAAAGACTTAAAGGACTTTACAAAATGAAGTAACATGTTACAAAAAATAGGTCCGCAATGCGTACTTGTGTGGGATTTCATTGACAAAGTGTTTGCAAGGGGTTTTTGAGCGGAAGCAAACCTGTCGCTCACCGTGAGTCAACTGTACTACAGGGGTGATATTAGGCCTGGAATCAACAGCCTGAATAGTAATTTTTGTGCGGGAATTATTTGAACAAATACAGATTCACAGGAGAGATCTGGGGTATTAACTTATACTTTTATCAAGCAATATGCCTTTCCCTCCCTCCCTGGAAGCTTTTTGGCGTGTTTTTGAACGTTTGGTAATCGTCTTCAACAAATAAATTACCTCTTGGTGGCTTAGGCTATTTATTTGTTTATACGGCAATACTGAAAATACTTGAAGCAGTAAATATTTTCGTAACAGTCATTGAAAAAAAATTGAAAAAATTTCTGCTACTACTGTTTAACTCGTGGATACACGATAGCGTAGAAACGAGTTCTTGTGGGCGCTCTGCGATATGCAAATTAGCGTGGACTCTTCGTAATTAGTCGTAATTAGTCGGCTTCGAACTCGAGATCTATCCTTCCGAAGAAGTAAGTCCAAAGTCCTGGCGCTATTATAATTGCACTGATCGTTGCGATATTTATTGTCTTTACACGCCTGTTTCGACATTTACTATATTGAAATGGACTTCAAATGTTTCAGATTAGTGCTATAATCAACTTAAAAACCAAATTTGAAGCATCTTCGAATCGTTTATGCGCTAAACATAACGAGGACCAGCGAGAATCACGAAGACTTTGTGAGTGACAGCAAGCTGTTGACACAGAAATTCCCACGGAAACATGTACCCATGACATAAAAAAAAATGGTAATTTGCAGCATTATTTCTTTCTACGCCAATTTGGGTCTTTCCGTTGTAATCGTTTCGTTTTGTTATTCTTCTATGCAAACGTGACTGTTTTGGGCTCATGGCTCGTGTACGACGACCTGACTGACGTCATTAGTTATTTACCTTCGTCACCGATTACAGTAGGCACATAGGGTAAATAGGAACAGAGGCCCAGAAGAACAGTAGGTACAGAGGAACAGTAGGTTCAGAGGAACAGTACAGAGGAACAGTGGGCACAGAGGAAGTGGGAACAGAGGAACAGAGGAACAGTGGGCACAGAGGAACAGTAGGCACAGAGGAACAGTAGGCACAGAGGAACAGAGGCACAGAGGAACAGAGGCACAGAGGAACAGTAGGCACAGAGGAACAGTAGGCACAGAGGAACAGTGGGCACAGAGGAACAGTGGGCACAGAGAAACAGTAGGCACAGAGGAACAGTGGGCACAGAGGAACAGAGGCACAGAGAAACAGTAGGCACAGAGGAACAGTAGGCACAGAGGAACAGTAGGCACAGAGGAACAGTAGGCATAGAGGAACAGTAGGCACAGAGGAACAGTGGGCACAGAGGAACAGTAGGCACAGAGGAACAGTGGAACAGTAGGCACAGAGGAACAGTGGAACAGTAGAACAGAGGCACAGAGGAACAGAGGAACAGTGGGCACAGAGGAACAGTAGGTTCTTAGTTTCTGCACTGCGATGCCTAACTCAGAGTTTTTTATGCTTCTTGAAAAAAAATTTGCGCGTTTCTTTGCTACCTTTTGGCACTCAGGTAGAGAAGGCAAAGCACATTTTCCTGAAGCTTATAATCTACAGTTAAACAACAAGAGACGTGATAACCGAAAGCTCAGGTTTGTAATAAAAAAGGGCAGACTTTGTTATTTGTGGATTTGAATTAGAAAATAATTTGTATGTATCAGAATTCAAGGGCGTAGGAAAAAAAAAGGAATTATTTATTTATTTATCTGCTTGTTTAAAGATTTATTGGCGAAAAGCGACTTTTACACATGCAAGGGTTTTTCTCTCATTGTATTGCTGCTATTTTTCATCAAGAAATATTTGTGAATATTGCGCTATTCACTTTAAAACAGGAGTTTGAAACCCAGTCATCACAACGACAGTAAGAAAATGAAAGGCAAAAATAAAATGATCGAAATCCACCTTTTGGCCCTTTGAAGAGGTCCGCGAAAGTATTTGAAGTCAGTGTGAAACGTAGTCATTTCGGGTCAGTTTGAACTTTTGGGTTGATGAAGTGTTCAACGTCCTTTCAGTTCATTTGATGTTTGAGTGCTCAAAGCCACGTCTTTAGAGGTAGCCTGTGCGGCCAGACATGTAACAAAGTCGTGAAGGGCTACTTTACCTAAGCTTGGTGAATAGTACAGACTGTTAAAAGGTCAGCAAAGGAGGACCATCAGAAGGTAACTTCCTTTTTGAAAATTTAATCAAATGACTTCAATCATTAAACTTTAAACAGAAAATCATGTCCTCTTCTCGCTGTACTAGAAGAGGACATGATTTATTCGTTCTTAGGAAAAATTGTTATGAAATAAAAAAGGATGTAAAAAAGAAGCCAATTTGCTTGACGACAATTTTATTTGGAGAAAAAACTGTAAAATGCGAGGAGCACGAGGTTATTGAAGAAATGAAATTAGGTCATAGTGTTACGGCCGGGGAAGACGTAAGTCGAACGCCTAACATGCGACCCTTAAAACGCCTACTGTTCCTTTGTGCCTCTGTTCCTCTGTTCCTCTGTGCCCGCTGTTCCTCTGTGCCCACTGTTCCTCTGTGCCTCTGTGCCTACTGTTCCCCTGTGCCCACTGTTCCTCTGTTCCTCTGTGCCCACTGTTCCTCTGTGCCTCTGTACCCACTGTTCCTCTGTTCCTCTGTGCCCACTATTCCTCTGTGCCTCTGTACCCACTGTTCCTCTGTTCCTCTGTGCCTACTGTTCCTCTGTGCCCACTGTTCCTCTGTGTCTACTGTTCCTCTGTGCCTCTGAGCCTACTGTTCCTCTGTTATCCTGTGCTAACTGTTACTCTGATAACGTCAGTCAGGTCGTCGTACACGAGCCATAAGCCCTGTTTTGATGGTAAGAATGAAAGATGATCGCTTTCAAGAAGTCGTTGCCGAGCACGTGACTATAATCTGGCCGGTGTTGTTTTGATCACTTGACGATCTTTTTCGCTGAAAATACAGGACGACTTCCTATTTCAAGGAATGCTTTTCCAATTAATTTCTATTGCATCGGTGTAAAAAAGTACAGGTATATGGGTGTTCTGAAAAACAAAAGGGAAATTCAAAACTACGAGAAATTGCGAGTAATCGGCTTCTTCTGCTACACGCGGGTTTTTTTGGTGTAACATGCGTGTGTTTCCCATAAGTTACAAGCACTTTACGCACGTGGGAATGCTGCAATCACGA